TCCATCTGTCAGTCTATTTCCTTCAGCTATTTCATCTGTTCCCTTTTGATGGTCTTTACAATGTATTACTGCCACTTCCCGAGGGAGAAAGACTGAAGACAATAGTTTGCCAATCTCCTATTTTTAGCTTAATAGCTTCTGGTACCAACAACTCTATAGCTGCCATTGCTCTTAGGCAGGCTGGCCATCCCTTAGCCACTAGATTAAGCTCCTTGCTTAAGTAGCCTACAGGTTGTTGGGGTGGCTCCTGTGCCTGGGCCCAGAACTTCCAGGGCCATTCCTTTTCTATTAGACACATAAAGGTTAAATGTCTCTCCTCTGGAAAGACTAAGAGTCAGTGCTGCAATTAAGGCTTGTTTTAATTGGTCAAAGGCTTTCTCAGCCTCTGACCAAATTAGAAAATGAGTTTTAGCAGATTAAGTCTCCTTAGTTCCATATACCATTCTACAACATACCATTTTTCAATATGCATGAACCCGCCTCTTTTTCCCCCTATACCTTCCTTCCTTTAAGTGACCATCCATTTTATTGTAGGACAAAAATTTACTATACAAGATTCCTTCCTATGCAAAACCATTCTGTCTTTTGCATCCTTCCTGTCCAAAAACAAATTACCACACCAACTTGTACTTTCTTTACATCTTTGCTGTACTTTTTTGACTTTTGCCTTTCCATATAACCTATATTTACTTTGAATTACCCCTAGCAACTTGAATTGCAAAGAGGCTATATTCCAACATGGATGGCCAGGACCAAATGGCTGGCATCTGTGTTAATTCATTTATTAATTTGTGTTCCAGTGCCCTAATATTCACCTGGAGATAGTTGGGATGGTGGTGAGCTATGCCAGACACTGTAGAAGGTTTCCAGGCCTCCTCAGTGGCCATCATTCCTGAGCTAGGTGTTCTCTCCTCCCTTCAGAAGAGAGCATACCTGCTTTCCAGTGGCTTTCTGGCCTGTACAGTGGACAAGGTCCTGGAGGTTTAGGTTTCTTTGGGGTAACCAGGCTTTTAGTGCCCCCACAGATTGTACTTATGGCTATAGACACCATCCCCTTAGTAGGTCTGCTGTTACCAGGTCACTGATAGGCTGTTGGAGTTTTGTCACTAAAGGTGACTGCCAATTGAGATGCCTCTTTTGTCCCTCTGGTTCTGCAGCCTTCTATGTTGGCACCCCATTGCTTCTTTAATGTTTTGGCTTGCTGCAGGTAAACCTTGGGAATTCTGGGTTGTATACACCTATTAAGGCAGCTACTAGAGCTCTTGCCTTTATCTTGTATCTACTCTCTTTTTCTTGTGCCTCCTCCTGTGCTGGAGTCCAGCTCCAGCAGGTCAGGGTTTCCTGAAGGAGAGATGGCATTGGTGCAGGAGAGAAAACGGACACTGACTCTGCTACAAGCAGGACAAATGCCACTTTGTTGTCTTTTACAACTCTGTTTTATACCCTAGATTTTGGCTTAAGGCAAAAGCATGTTCTTTATTTCAAAGTTAATCAGTTCCCAGTTCAATAAATTTCTTGTCCATCCTGCTTTGATCTGTTACAACTCTAATGGGGTTCTGTCTATCTTTTTCTTTGAACCATAATGATGTACTGTTTACTTTCTAAAACTACAACATCAAACATGTTATTTTTAACCCTGAATACTATCTCCAAATGTTATTTCTTATCCACATACAATAAGTTACAAATTCTTTTAATGTTTTATCTTAGTTATAACTTTTGTAAACTCCTAACATTTTCTAATGATTACCATTTCTCAATGCCTATACAAAAACTTACTTATCTCTACAACCATTACATTATAAATCACTACTGAGTTCTAAGCACTATAATTGTCACATTGATTTGTAAGCTTTCACATAGCAAATTGCAATTATCTGGGGTAAAGCAACATTCCCAAGGTTTCTTAATCGCAAATTGGCCTGACTCGCTTTCCATAATGTCACACCTAGTATTTACAATCTGTGTCAATTATCCCTTGTCAGGAAGAATGGACTTCAACGTTTGTAAAACAAAAGGCTCCCCGGGCTCAATTTATCTTAGTCACAATCCCTAACCAGAATTACAGGCCTTCTTAACAAAGGGAAAATAAGGCCAAGGGTGCTCTAATGGAAGAGTATACTTCTAACAAAATAAATCCTTCCTTTACTAAGCATTACCATTTGGTAAGAATTATTTCTCCCATATAGAACTCTTTACATTTTCCAACTTCCAGGTTTCCAGTGGTGAGATTGAGAGTGGAGGTAGAAGAAGCAGGAACAACAGCTGCCCAGAGTTGCCCTGCAACCTGGGGTCTTCGGCCTTCCGGACCCTGTCAACATGAAGGCTTCTAAGGCTGGCTCCCAGCACTCCGGATCCTGTTATAAAAGCCTGAGATGGCCACTTTCAGGAGGTTCTCTAAAGTGCTATCTGGTCCTTTGACTTGTTTCTTCTGCAGCTTCCTTCTGATATCTGGAGCTGCCTGAGTAATGAACTTGTCTTTTAAGATGCCCTTCAACTGATTCAGGGTCTAGGGATAAGTATTTAATCAAAGCCTCTCTCAGTCTTTCCAGCAAAGCTGAGGGATTCTCTTTGACCCCATGGTCTATCATGGCTAACTTGGAACAATTCAGAGGCTTAATTCTCAAGTTTTCCATTATGCATATCAGGAAATATTTCTTCCTCCATTCTCCCAAATCACTATCAGGGTCCCATTTAGGGTCTTCCAATGGCACTGCAGACATTCCTATTGCATAGGGCTCCTCCCCTTCTCTGACACAATGTGAAATGCAAAGCTCATCTCCAAACTTCTCTGCTGCTTGCAGAGCTGCTTGCTTCTGTGGTCGTTAGGGTTTGACCTAGGAGCAACATAACATCCTTCCAGGAGAGCTCGAATACTTGCGTTAAATTCTGAAGAATATCTATATACTTGTCAGGGTCATTTGAGAACCTTCCAAGATCTTCCTTGATCTGTTTCAAGTCTCGTAGGGAAAAGGGTAGGGTACCTGTACCTTACAAGGGCCATATTCACCAAGCATCTCTTGTAGGGGCATAAGTAATGTCAAAATTCTAGAATGAGGGGTTTTAGAATGGGAACAGTTTGAAGTACAAGGAGGACTTGAATAAGGAGGACAAGATGGACCAGGTGGAGTGGTCTCATGAGATGATGCCTTCCCCAGTGGCGCCTTTGGGTTTGGCAACCCCAGTCCATTGGGACCATCCCTTGAGATGACTGCTAAGAGGGTTGAATCAATCTTGCAGTGCTGACAAAAGTCCAGATTTTCTCATAATGGGAAGTCTGTACATATGGGACCTTGGATCATTTGCCCTGGCATCTATGGACACTGTCTAGCTCCACAATTGAAGTATGGTTGATTCTTCCCTCTGGAGGCCAGGTTTCTTCATACTGCAACTTATAATTCAGCCATGCTTGGGTGCAAAAGAATTTAAGATGCTTTTAAAGTTCAAGGATCAAAGGACTCCCATGTACCAGGATGCACTCTTGAGTGTACACTGTAGATAGCCAGATGGCCCATTACCCATCTGAAAGAGAGGGGAAAGAAAGGCATCCCTAAGCCTTCCCTCCTTCAACCAACGCACATGATGAATAAGGATTGAAGAAAGGAGAGCGTCCCCTCACTTTCCTGTCCTTCTCTGCTCATAGCATCCCCTTGGATGCGAGCATGACCTCCATCCAAGTTTAGCGGTAGTGACCTGGTTGGTAGGAATAGTCACGCTCACCTACACATTAATACCTGTCCTATGCGCTGTCAACTGTGCCTCTGGATTCCTCAAACCTAGCATTCCTAAGACCAGACTAGGTCTTCAAACAGGCTTTGGAACAATTGGGTTTAGGAGCAGGATTCTGACAAGGGGGGCGTTACCTGGGACTTTCATGAACCTCTGGCCAGGAGGCCCATGGTTTGAGCCAGGTTACAACATTCAGATTACTTTCTTAACAAGGGCAACAAATATGGAGACATAAAAGTACTGGTACAGGATCTTTTGAGACAGTCCCTGACATCTTCTGAAAAGCCTAAACCCATCATTAGCCAAGCATTTCAACATAAAGTCTACACATTCATTCGACATTTGTTTACCCATAGAGACCTTAAATGTAGGGATCTAACATCACAAGACTTAAATTCCGTATATAAAGCAGTTTCTTATTCCTGCCAATTACAATGCTTCCCAACATGAAAAATTGAAACCAAAGCTTCCTGCCCCTTTGCCTCATGGACCAATGAACACACCTTTTCTTGAGCTTTTATCCAATAAGGGTCAAGCTGGTTGCCAATACTGTCTAGTAACGCCAGCTCCCTAAGCTACAAAAACAACCACGTCACCAAGCACCAAGTAGGGACAATACCCATGGAAATTCCGAAGAGAAGAAAATGTGCTAGGAGAGACTGAAAAAGTGTTATAGGAGAGACTGGAAGCCTTCTGCCAACACCCTGTCAGGCTGTCGGGAATTGGGGCCAACCTGAAAGCCTTTGGGTAACACCAAGGTGTAGCCTTGGTCAGATGCCCTCAATTACCCCCAAGCTTCTTCCAATTCCACGTGATGGCTAGACTTCCGTGAAAAGAAACTGCATCGAAACAGGGCCAACATTCCCAACACCTGAGAGTGATGGGGGATTAACCAAGTCCTCTCCAGCAAGCCTGTCCGCTGCGTATCGTAGACCGGCAGTCACATTATTCGCTTTTCACTGGCTAGCAAAGTCCTGGTGATTTGTTCTTTAGACAGAGTAAAAAACCTTGAGGATGAGGATTCTCGGAAATGAAAGTGATAGATCCGCTTTAACTCACCCTTCCATCGAACCCCACGTTCAGGTGCCAAAACTGATGCGGATTTTTCAGGCCAACCTGGGCTTCAAGATTGCCAGCTCGACTTCTTCCCTCTCCCTCCTCTTCCCCCTCCTCTGTGTGTTAGTTCCGGTCACAAAGGAGACATTGCTGCCGTTGCTGCCACATCGGGATTTCTGGTTGTCTTCTCTTTGCCTTAAATTCGTGTGCCTTTTATGAATAATCAAAAGCAGCAGAAGCCAACGCTATCAGGCCAGCATTTTAAAACCAGAAAATGAGATGAAAAAGAGAGGTTTGACCCTACTCAGTTTCAAGACTGTATTATTCAAGGCTTAACTGAAACTGGTACTGATTTGGAAGCAGTAGCTAAGTTTCTTGATGCTTCTGGAGCAAAACTTGATTACTGCCAATATGCAGAAACTCTCTTTGACATTCTGGTGGCTGGTGGAATGCTGGCCCCAGGTGGTACACTGGCAGATGACATGATGCGTACAGATGTCTGTGTGTTGCAGCACAAGAAGACCTAGAGACCATGCAAGCATTTGCTCAGGTTTTTAACAAGTTAATCAGGTGCTACAAATACCTGGAGAAAGGTTCTAAAGATGAAGTAAAAAAGCTGCTGCTGTTCTTGAAGGGTTTTTCTGAGTCAGAGAGGAACAAACTGGCTATGTTGACTGATGTTCTTCTGGCTAATGGGACACTGAACGCATCCATTCTTAACAGCCTTTATAATGAGAATCTGGTTAAAGAAGGGGTTTCAGCGGCTTTTGCTGTAAAGCTCTTAAAGTCATGGATAAATGAAAAAGACATCAATGCAGTAACTGCAAGCCTTTGGAAAGTCAGCATGGACAACAGACTGATAGAACTGTTTCATGCCAATAAGCAAAGTGTTGAACACTTCACAAAGTATTTTACTGAGGCAGGCTTGAAAGAGCTTTCAGAGTATGTTCGGAATCAGCAAACTATAGGTGCACGGAAGGATCTCCAGAAAGAGCTTCAGGAACAGATGTCCTACGGGGATCTGTTCAAGGATATAATTTTATATGTCAAGGAGGAGATGAAAAAAAACAACATCCCGGAACCGGTGGTCATCTGGCCAAGTGTCATGAGCACTGTGGAGTGGAACAAAAGAGAGGAGCTTGTAGCAGAGCAAGCAATCAAGCACTTGAAGTAATACAACCCTCTGCTTGCTACCTTTACTACTCAAGGTCAGTCTGAGCTGACTCTATTACTGAAGATTCAGGAGTATTGCTATGACAACATTCACTTCATGAAAGCCTTCCAGAAAATAGTGGTGCTTTTTTATAAAGCTGAGGTCCTGAGTGAAGAGTCCATTCTGAAGTGGTATAAGGATGCACACGTTGCAAAGGGGAAAAGTGTCTTTCTTGAGCAAATGAAAAAGTTTGTAGAGTGGCTCAAAAATGCTGAAGAGGAATCTGAGTCTGAAGCTGAAGAAGGTGACTGAATTTCAAAACTGCACCCTCAGTAAAGCAAACAGGAGTTGTAGATACAATGTCATGTCTCATGAGTCCTGGTTCTTACATCTTCCTACCTCCCTATATCAAGCATGATATAAGGGCTTTCATGGCAAATTTTATTTTAACTGTTTCTATGGTTACTGGAGATGTTGGATTTAGTTTCTGAAACCATGTTTGAAGTAGCTACAGGAGCTATAGATTTGAATCTAATGTTGCATTCGTCTTTTCAGTTATCTTCTACCTCCTGTATTTTCTACTGTAATAATGTAATTTAAGGTCTTCCACAATGAACAGTTCACTTTATTCCCTGGGTTTTCTATAACAGTTTTCAAGATATGATTTGGTTAAAAATAATTTGTTAGAAAAATTCTGTTTGCAAATCAAACTGTGTAAGTATCCAAAAAAAAAGAGTGCCAGCTCAATGGGTCAGCCAGCCAAGCCCCAGAGAGGGTTGTGGAGGGGCTGGTAAGCATAGCCCCACAAATGTCAGCTCTAATGGGCTGGCAAGCCAAGCCCTGAGTGTCGCAATTGGGAGGGGAGACTGGCAAGCCCAAACCCCTGGAGGCCTCAGCTTTGGAGTCTCACCTTCCTCCGGCAGCTCTCCTGGTTCAGCTGGCTCTGTCAGCTGGCAAGTCAGCCTCTGGGGTGCATGACTTTTGACTCCAATGATCTTCTGCAACTCTTCAGGTTGCAGCTCTTCAGGTCAAGGTTCTAGTCTCATGCCTAGGCAGAATGAGGGACATGGACAGCTGGAAGGTGAGAAAGCAGGATTTTTGAGGACAGAAAAGCTCCCACAGCAGGAAGGGGCCTGAAGGGGTTGCCCATCTGGGGCTGAAAACGTGGTGCTTATATAGCCCTAAGTCCAAGCCGATTGGCTAGCACTAGCTGTGAGCTGTTGCTGTTCTGATTGGTTGCTTTTCGATCCCAGCAGTGAGAACTTTAGCTCTAGCTTGAGAGACTTGTGGGAAGCTTGTTTACCAACACTGAACCTGAGAGGCCTGCCAGGAGTTCACTACATTGTTACCAGAGGACTCTCCTGTTTGTCTGCCTAGTCTTTCTCTAGCTATCTCCTGTCTCAGTAACAGTCAAAATGGTCTCAAGCACCTTCCAAGTTTAAGCCTTACTTAATTTCCTTTTGTAAAAAATCCAGTGGTTCTCACCTAGGAAAGCATAGCCTTTCACAGGTGAGCCACCATAGAGCAAAGGGGCTGGTACCTAGAGGAGTGGAGTGAAATCTATAGAAAGTTCTTTCTTTCCCAACACTGGCATTTTCAAGTGGATGTTCAAGTCTTAATCCTTTCAAGACAGCTAAAACCTAGTATATACTAAGAAAATGGTCCCTGAACACACACAAAAAATTGAGAAGCAGTTTGGCAATTTTCCCCAATGTTTCAGTTTAATGTAGTAGATATAAATTTCAAAAGTTCAATATCATGCCATAAATAATATTCAACTTCAATTTAAATGATAAATTAAACTAAGCTTCTTAATAATTTCATATCCACAGCACCGAATTGCACCAAAGAACCACTGGTCTACTAGAATTTGTCCTAGTAATTCAAACACAAAAACCAAAACCAAAACCAAACAAAACCGCCTAAAAACCAAGAGCTGCTAATGCCCCATGTCCAGTGGGGTTGCAGTTTGCTCTCTGGGCCGTTATAAAACTTTAGGCCAAAGGGACACATATAGCATTGAAGGCTTTTGACGCTTAAACTTCATAAGTGTAAATTTTTTTTTTTTTAGTTGGAGTCTCACTCCATTGCTCAGGCTGGAGTGCAGTGGCACACTCACGGCCACCCCACTGTCAATCTGCTGGGCTCAGGCGATCCTTTGCCTCAGCCTTCCAAGTAGCAGGAACTACAGGCGTGCACTACCACACCCATTTTTTGATTTGTTGTAGAGATGAGGTCTCGCCAAGTTGCCCAGGCTGGTCTTGAGCCTGTGGGTTCAGGCAATCCTCTCACGTCGGCCTCCCAAAGTGCTTGGGATTACAGGCTTGAGCCACTGCTCCCGGCCTATAAGTGTAAATTAAAAAAAAAAAAAAGCAGTGTGAAATGCTTCCAGTAAATGGTCTCATTCAGTTTTTGTTGTTGTTGTTGCTAAAGATGTCATATTTTCCCTATCCAAATAGTTTCATTTTGACAGCCCTAGATTGCTTTTTCACTGCCATATTGATTTGTATGCCCATTTTGCTTATTTCCCCCTTTCTATGTCATGTATTTCAAGATTGTTGGTATAATTCTCAGCATTATGCAAAAATCAGAAAGTTGTTTTGGGTGATCAATTATCAGCTACAGTAACAATTTTCTTTAAAATGACTTCTGGAGAAAGAGAAGGGCAGAGGAAGAGAGATTGTAAATTTCTAATCAAATTCCACAGGTAAGATTTCCACATAAAATTATTAAAATATTTAAGAAAATAATTTTCAACTATACGAAATAAAAAAAAGTTTTCATTGTGTTTTGTAAAAATCTGACTCATCTAAGTGCCAGAAACAGGATGTATCCACAACCCCTCAGAAAAACCATGAATACCTGTGAAGGCTATTGGACAGCCACATTTGTGGATGAGAGATAGACTGTCTTGAATCAAGGTGCCCAATCAGAGTCAAGAATTGCATTTCCAGCCTCAAGATCTCTGTGTAGAACTTTGTGAGAACTCAGTGAACTTCCTCATCAAAGGAAAAGAGTACTCTTCAAAAGTAAGATCTGGCCAATGCCTTCCCTACATTACCGCTATCCCTATCCCCCATTCTGGCAGCTCCAGCACCCAAGACCCAAAACACAGAACACATGCTTTCCCCCCAAATCATACCTCCCATCAACTGAAACTGGCTGTCTAAGAGCTATGGCCAATATTTATTTTATTAATATCCAGTTGCTCTCTCGATTTCTAGCTCAGGTGATATGTTGATTTTCTTATAATTATTAGCACAGCATTATTGTTTAAAAAGGAATTAGCATGAACATCTTGACAATATTGATTCTTCTAATCCATGAGCTTGAGATTTTTAAAATTTGCATCATCCTTGATTTCTTTGAGCAGCATTTTGTGGTTCTCATTGTAAAGGTCTTTCACTTCTCTGGTTAGGTGGATGCCAAGGTATGTAATTTTTTTTGGTGTGGCTATTGTGAATGGGTTTGTGTTTTTTTTTATTTGGTTCTCTACCTTCTTCTTGTTGTTGTGTAGACATGCAACTGTCTTTTGCACATTGTTTTTGTATCCTGAGACTTTACCCAAGTCGTTTATTAGTGCAAGGAAGTTTTTGACAGACTCCCTAGGGTTTTCTAGATGTAGAATTATACATCCACAAAGACAGATAGCTTAACTTCCTCTTTTTCTATTTGGATACCCCTGATTTCCTTTTCTTGCCTGATTGCTCTGGCTAGAACTTCCAGCACTATGTTATAGGAGGGTGAGAGTAGGTGTCTTTGTCTTGTTCCAATTCTTAGGGGAAATGCTTCCAGCTTCTACCCATTGAGCAAAATGTTGACTGTGGGTTTATCATAGATGGTTCTTATTGCTTTGAGGAATATTCCTTCTATGCCTAGGTGTTCAAGGGGTTTTTATCAAGAAGTGATGCTGGATCTTGTCAAATGCTTTTTCTGCATCTAATGGGGTAATCATGTGGTTCTTGGTAATGTATCTGTTAATATGCTGAATTATGTTTACGGTCTTGTGAATGTTGAGCCAGCCCTGCATCCCGGGAGTGAAACCCATCTGGTCATGGTGAATGATCCTTGAGATGTGTTGTTGTATCTGATTTGCTAGAATCTGGTTGGGAAATTTTGTGTCTACATTCATCATGGATATTGGCTTGCAATTCTCTTTCCTTATTGGATCATTGCCAGGTTTGAGTACAAATAAGATGTCAGAGTCATAAAATGAGCTAAGGAGAATTCTGTCATTCTCGATTGCCTGGAATACTTTCTTTAAGATTGGTGTCAGTTCCTCCTTGTATGTCTTGTAGAATTCAGCTGAGAAGACATCTGGCCCAGGGCTTTTTTTGACGGAGAGTTTTCTTATAATGAAGTTGATTTCCTGGATTGTTATTGTTATACTATTATTCATAGTAATCTCTGATAACCTTTTGAATTTCTTCAGGGTCAGTTGTGACATTGCCTTTTTGCATTTCTAATTGTGTTTATTTGGATTTCTCTCTTCTCTTTTAGTTAATCTGGCCAGGGGTCATCAATCTTATTTATCCTTCTAAAGAACTAGCAATCTACAGATTCATTGAAATACCCATCAAATTACCAACATCATTTCTTCATAGACCTGGAAATGACAATACAAAAATTCATAGGAAAACAGACAAAAAGCACAAATAGCCCAAACAAAAGGAACAAAGCAGGAGGTATCACATATCCAGACTTTAAACTTTTTTCCAAGTCTACAGTAACGAAAACAACATGGTATTGGTACAGGAATAGGCACATAGACCAATGGAACAGGACAGAGATTCCAGAAAGAAAAATATGGTTCCTCAAGCAATTCATCTTTGTCAAAGCCACTAATAACCATCACTGGAAAAAGGAGAACATAGCAAATGGTGCTGGGAAAACTGACTAGCCACATGCAGAAAAATTGAACCTCTACCTATCCCTATCATCATATAAAAAAACTAGGTCAAAATAGATCAAGGACCTAAATGAAAAACCTCAAACTATAAGAATCCCAGAATCTAAAACATAGGAAATGCCCTTTAGAGTAGGCAATAAATTCATAACTAAGTGCCAAAAAGCAAATGCTACAAAAGCTAAGTTAGCTAAGTAGGACCTCATCAAACTGAAAAGCTTTTGAACAGCAAAATAAATCATTAGGAGAGTAAAAAGACAACCCATGAAATGAGAACAAATATTTGCAAGTTATGCATCTGACAGAAACCCAACATCCAGAATCTACAAGGAACTCAAATGAACTGATAGGAAAAAAAAAACCAACCCTGTTAAAAAGTGGGCAAAGGATATGAACAGACATTTCTCAAAGGATGACATACAAGCAGCCAACAGACACATGAAAAAATACTCAGCCTCACTTATCTTCAGAAAAATGCATATTCAAAACTATGAGATACCACTCAACTCTGGTAAGGATGGCTATCATTAATAAGTAAAAAAACTACAGGTACTGGTGTGGCTGTGGAGAAAAAGGAATGCCTCTACACTGTTGGTGGGAATGTAAGATAGTTCAACCTCTATGGAGAGGAGTGTGACAATTTCTAAAATAACTAAAAATTGATCTTCCACATGATCCAGCAATCCCTCTCCTGGGACTATACCAAGAGGAACATAAATCTCTCTACTAAAAAGACACCTGCATATGCATGCTTATTGCTACACTAGTCACAATACCAAAAACTTGGAACGAATGCTGTTATAGAAAGCAGACTGGATAAA